CAGCCAACCAATTACTCTTGGAGGACTTAAAACAGGGCATAGAGGCCAAGGTCCTGATGTTGCCTCCTAGCACTGATATTCAGAGGCTTGCTGCCGTGAAATATGGAGATTCTCTTTAGTCATTATAGCTAATAACCACTGGTACACTTATCCTCCATGGATCTACCTAATTCCTTTAAAAGCAGTCTATGCTTGTGACTATCACTACACCCACTAGCAGTAAATTCCATAATTTAATCACTTACTGAATAAAGAAGTAGTTCCTTTTATTGGTCTTGAATCTATTGCCCATCCTGTTTGTGGAGTGCATCCAAGTTCTAGTATCATGGGAAGGTGAAAAATTATAATTTTATAAACCTCTGTCCTGTCTCTCCTTGGCCATCTTTTTCTAAACTGAAAAGACGCAGATGCTTTAGCCTTTCCTTACAGGAAAGGTACTGAAACCCCTTAATAAACTTGGTTGTTATTTGTCTAGCTCCACAATATGTTTTTTTAACAATATGTTGACCAGAAATGAATTCCAAATGAGGCCCTTCCTTGTGTGTGTACAGAAACACACACAAAAAGAACATCAGTATATTGGCAGTTTTATTTTCAATCTCTTTCCTAAGAATGCAGATGGGGAAAAGCTGACTGGAAAGCATTACATAGCCCAAACAGAGTGCAGACTGGTCAAAGAGCGAGATTTAACAAACCTACAGAGACTTTTTTGAACCTTCTCCTAATATAAGCAATGTCACATTGGGCTGAAAAAATGGCACCGAAAGTGAGACCTTCTCCTTCAGGAACTGCTAGCTCAGCAGCTTTGGCTTCCAAAACGGAAGCAACCATAGACATTCCAAACATGCTAGCCACTGCATTGTGCCCTCTACTGGACCAGATGACCCATCTTAATAACAATTTTGAGACTCTCCAAAAACTGCTAAAAGAAACCAATATAAAAACAGAGAATACAGCAAAGTCTTTGAGAAAAGTTAATGCTAAGACAAAAGTGTTGAATCAGAGAGTGGTGGCAGTGGAAAAAGAGAAAGTCTCTGATAAACAACAGCTGTTACAACTACAAATGGAAAAATCATAATATATCCAGAGATTTCATGGTATCCCGGAACAAAAACAGGGAAACCCCAAGGAGATTTTAAGCGACACCCTGGCACAGGTAGTAGACCTTAAAGCGGAATTTATACAAAGCGAGATGGATGTGGTCTATCAGACTTATCCAGACTACATCAAGAAAAATAAACTACCTGGTGAAATACTTGTGAAATTCTCCAAGAGATGTTATACTTAAAGCGACCAATGGGATTACTCTAAAAATCAAAGGTGAAGAAATGAGAATTTTAAAAGACATTCCATTTGAGATAAGAAAGAAGAGACAACAATATAAAAAATTGACAACTTTTTAACAGAAAAATTCCACTCCCTACAGACGGATTTTACCAGAGGGACTTATCTTCAACTTCAAAGAGAAAAAAGAAAAAATAGACTGTTGCCAAAGCTAAAGCATTTTTGGAGCAGCATCAAAAAACAGAGAAAGAGAAAGGAAAAGTGGAGGACAACAACGCAGAAGAAGGGGACAGCGGAAGTAGATCAGGAAGCAGTAGCAGTACATCGGACAGTTCCTCAGGAGAAGACTTTGAATCTGATATGGGAGAATCTGCCCCCAAACTTCTTAAAGTCAGATGGGACTAAGATAAGTCTAAGGGAGAAAAGGGGGAAAAGAAGTAAAAATGAATCAATTCTGAAAGTTTAATATTATCAAGTTTAATGTACCAAAGTGCACTTATTTGGCTAACATTGTACTGAAATATATTTGAAACAGTTAATCTCACTCTTCATCTTCTAGAATGTTAAAGCTAAGGGAAATTTTGAAATAAGCAATTTGTATCATACCAGATCCCTGTTTAGCTGTATGTTTTAGTTAGTGTTTCCATGTTCCCTGCCCTATGTAGTATGCAGTCAAAATGCAATTTAAAAGCTATATAAATAATAATAATAAAGTTAGGATTTTTCATTCCAGTGTGCATCACCTGCCACTAAGCAACACTGAACTTCATTTGCCATTTGTTAATCAATAGATCTTCCTGTAGCTCCTTGCAATTCATTTAGGTTTTTGCCACCCTGAATAATTTGGTATCATCTGCAAACTTGCTCACCCCCAATTCCAAATCTTTTATGAAGAAATTAAGTAGGACTGGTTCCAAACTGATACGTGTGAGATCCTTTGAGGGGATGTGGCTCTGACAGAGCATCTGCTTTGCATGTAGAAGGTCCCAGGTTCAATCCTTGGCATCTCCAGGTTTGTTTGTTTTAAAGCATCAGGTGATGTGAAAGACCTCAGACTCTGCCAGTTTGAGAAAGCAATACTGACCTTGATAGACCAGTGGTTTAATTCATTAGAAGGCAGCTTCATGCATTCTAATGATGTGTTGCTTGCCCTCTGGATGGTGTTTCCTAAGCTGTGTTCTAGCTGCTACTATTTTGGGGAAGGGCTGTAGCACAGGGCTAGAACATCTG